GACAATAACAATGACAAACATATCACTACATAATGACAAACTTGTTCCTGTATAATGTCAAAAACAAAAAAAAACAATTCAGTTCTATTATTGTAAAATCAAAATTTAATAAGAATGAATAGAAATCAAGGTGCCCAAATCGTATCTCTATCTTTTACTCCATCTGTTTGGAAAAACACATCTCATTTGGATTTGGGGCAAAAATAAGGAAGTGTTAAATTATAGTTGACTTCCAATTTTGCCCCTGATGTGATGTATAAAAGTAAGATGTGATGGATAGATTATTAGAGAAAAAGTATGATGTGATAGGTAGGGTATGAAAAATTAAGGGTAAAAGTGGTTTTTTAATAGAAAAGGGAAGTGTTTTGTTGGAAGTGGAAAAATTGAAAGAGGAAGTGTTTTTGAGAACGGAGGGAGTACTAAAGTACTTCCTAACATTTTGCAGACCCCATGAAAAAAAACAATTGGAAGCTCTGATTCATTCTCAATATGTGAAAAAGACCAATTGGAGAGATTAAGATGGACATGCGATTCATGCGGCACGGCTGGGACACATGTTAGAATGTGTAGAAGAAGAGAGAAAAAGGAGCATGATAGTGTTTGATCCGAAAGGGGTGAAAGCCCGGTTTAATAGAAATTAGAATAATTACTTCTATTTAGAGAAGTTTAAGTTTGAGATCCTATTTTGGGATATGACATATCTTTTACTCCTATCTAGGGGTTTTTCACATTAAAAAACTAAACATGTTTTTACAAAGGGCAAGGTTCCCATGACATTCGGAACCAATATCATTGGATGACCCGGGGGCGCTCCGGTGCTCCGTTCGTAAAAATTGACGGTTCCTACCCCCCCCCCCCCCCCCCTTGGAAAACCCCCCACCCCGCCCCGACCCGAACACATCCCCCCACCCCCTTCAATTGCACCCCACAATTTGACTTCAAAATCAACTTGTGGGGTGCAATTGAAGGGGGTGGGGGGATGTGTTTGGGTCGGGGCGGGGTGGGGGGATTTACCGGGGGGGTTAGGGGGTAGGAACCGTCAATTTTACGAACGGAGCACCGGAGCACCCCGGGTCATCCCATGACATTGGTTCCCAATGTCTTGGGAACCAAGGGGTTTTAGGGCTTACAAAAGCAAAGAAAAAAAACTTCAAAATGATGGTATATCTTTATTGCGAATTCATCTCAACTCAAGCACATCAAGTCACCTTGTCTTTCCCATTGTGAGTGTGGTTATCAACCGAAGAGGTGGGAAATCAGCCATATGTTGGATTTACTGAAGGAAGAACACTGCGAAGCAGTGTTGAATGAAGAACTCGATAGAATAACGAATCGCGTACGATACGCTTTCAGATCAAAGTTATTTCGGGGTATACGAAATACTTCAATCGGATAAGACGTTAATTTAGAACAAGCACTCGAGAATCTACATCTCAACCCATACCACGAGACTCTATTTTATAGAGTCGAAAATTCTTGTGATCGGACATGAACGTTCGCGTAGATGTACACGTACGTTCGCGCAAGAAGAAAAAGGTGCGAGTTTGAAACGAAAGGTCTCATGCGGTTGAAGGCTTAATTTCGACGTTTATCCATTATGTACGAGTCCTTTACCGTTTTGGACTCCGGTCACGAAAATCTTAAGGATTTTCTTAAAGAAACAGCTCAACCCCGGCCAGGGGCTCTGCCCCTTGGACCCCGCCACGGGCTGCCGCCCCTTGGACCCCGCTACCCGGGGGCTGCCGCCCCCGGACCCCTGCAGTGAATTTATAATATCGTTGAACGAGCGCGCACTCCGTGCCTCCTAACTCGTTTGACAACGTCTATTTAAATTCTTGTCCGATCAAAGTAAATCCAATTACACAAAATAAATTGATGACACTAAAATCACCAACACCATATTTGGTATATTAAGCCTTGATCTGCCATTTGAACCAATAAATATAATACTAATGTATTGAAACAAATGAGACATTAAACCTCAATGTTATTCGTAAAAATCCAAACAATGTAATTGAACGTGCACTGAACCAATATTTTCAATGTGAAAAAATCTGAAAAAACAATGAACCTCACTAAAGTAAACCTCAAACATTGAATAATCTAATTTACATTTTCAAATATAACATGCAGTTTTATATATTTAGATTTTCAAATTGAACAGAGATCAGTCGACCTAGATATAGACTATAGTTTAATTACATTAATAACAATCAGATGAAATAATAACAAACAATGTGATATGCTAGAGCGGAGTGCTATGCTCTAAGCTAAGTTCTACCGAAGACCAGCTATGTTGTATGGAGCGGAGTGCTGGGCGGTTAAGAAAACCCATGTTTATTAGCTTCATGTTGTAGAGATACGGATGTTACACTAGATGTGTGGGGAGATGAGGAAAGCAAGGTTGAGGTGGTTAGGGCATGTGATGCGGTGGAATGCTGACGTCCAATGCGGAGATGCGAGAGGCTTACGTTGGTGTATGAGAGTAGGGGAAGGGGTAGACTTAGGAAGAATTGAAAGGAAGTGTTAGACAAGAATTACGACTTCTTGCCCTAAATGAGGACATGACCTTAGATATGAGTGTTCAAAAAGCCAGGATTAGAATAGTTGGGTAGGCACCTTGGGCTAGAAGTAGTTCCATGTACTTGTTGTTGTTGCTTTGTATGCCTTGTATACTTTGTGCTCTATAATTGTTTTACTTTTCTTTCTATTAACTCTAGTTTGTTCCTTGCCAATGTGTGTCTTGTACTTTACCAGTTTATCCATGCTTTGCTTTATGTATCTCTTGTGATCTTTTTTCATGTGCAGCTTGAGTCGGGGGTCTCTTGGAAAGAACCTCTCTACTTTCGAGTAGGGACAAGGTTTGCAAACGTGCACCCTAGCTAGTATGCACCAAGAATATCATATTTTCTCTTCAAACGCCTTCCATTAGCCATCCGAACAAAAAAATTTAGATTTTTTTTATTAAATAAATTATTTAGTCTTCATATTTTAGCCTAATTTCTTGGTCTGAACAAAAATCCACCCAAAATTTTTAAAACCATTTCTTTTGAATTCTATTTAATTTCCCAGCAAAGAATAGCAAAACTGCTTCCTTTATTGTTCCTCCTCCCTCATCGTAGCTATAGTAAAGAATACTCTTTATACAAAGTGCCATCGAAGCCATAATACCAACAATTACAATCCATAATGCCAACTATTATACTAAATAAGTACAAATATGCCACTGTATAAGGTAAAAAAAGAAGCAAAGTGCCAAACATGGCACTGTCTAAGCACAAATATGCCAATGTAGAATGTCAAAAGGAAAGAAATACGCAAAGAAGTAATTTGATAGTGAATTAATTACAAATTTACAAATTTGATTCTCAGAGTGTCTGATGGCTAAAACGCTTGTATTCAGGGATGACAAGAGATAATTTTGGATATTCATGACTACTTTAAATATTATATAGTCATTGCAAAAAAAAATATTATATATCGAACAATAAAAACTAAAGCCACCAAAATGAAAAAGTTGTGTTAGATTGGGGCATCGGATGAAGTAGGATCATGAAGGTTCAATGTTGACCCCCACATGTAAAGCTCCTCGCTTAATCAAATAACAATCACCGGAAAGGAAGAGATTACTAGAAACGAGTCATTTTCAAAATCATAGCATTAGTGAAGTTTTTGGCTAAACATAATTTAGCATTCCGTGGCTCAAAAGAAAGATTGTATAAAAAAGGTAACAAGTTAAAAATGTTTTACTTTTAAATGTTCCACTTTCATAAAATGTCATGTTTCTTAAATGTGTTACTTTTTAACAGGTAATGGAAATTTCTTGGGTCTCATTAAGATGTTACAAGCGTTTGATCCAGTTATTCGAGAGCATGTGCGACGAATCACAAATGATGAGCTTCATGTGCATTATCTCGGGCACAAGATTTAGAATGAACTCATACTGGATTTAGCCCAAGAGATTAAGAAGGAAATCATCAAGAAGATAAAGGAAGCCAAGTACTACTCAATCATACTTGATTGTACCCCTGATACAAGTCACAAAGAGCAGATGAGTATGGTAGTGAGGTATTTAAACTTCTTAGGTAATTCTATTATTGTGGAAGAGTCCTTTTTAGGCTTCTTGAATGTTAATGATACCACCAGAAAAGGACTATTTGATTTCATAATTGAGGAGTTAAAGTCTCTTGATTTTGAAATTGATGATATTCGCGGTCAAGGTTGTGATAATGGGGCAAATATGAAAGGAAAACACCAAGAAAAAAGATTTTTGGATGTCAATTCTAGAGCAGTTTACACTCCTTGTGGTTGTCATTCTCTTAAATCTTACATTATGTGATATGGCTCAGAGTTGTGTTAAAGGGAAGACTTTTTTTGGAGCCATCCAAAAAATTTATACTATCTTTCCACATTCAATTAATCGGTGGCAAATTTTAAAAGATAATGTTAAAGGTTGGAGCCTTAAGCCATTATCTCAAACTCGTTGGGAAAGTCGTGTTGAGAGTATTAAGGAAATTAGAATGCAACTTTCCGATGTACAAGAAGCTTTTCTCGAAGTTGAAGAACAAGATAGTGATAATACAATTGTTCACTAGTAGAAAATCTTATTGAATTTGAGTTTTTGGTATCAATTGTTATTTGGTATCAAATATTAAACCAGGTAAATATAGTGAGCAAGAAGTTACAATCAAAGGATATGCATCTTGATATTGCTATTAAAGAGATAAATGGATTGATTGACTACTTCAAGGGTTATAAAGAAACTGGTTATTCAAAAGCAATTGATGAAGCATGTTAGCCTTGATTTGCTAAGTCTCATGTTTTGATGTTAACAAACAATATAAGAGCTTAACGTTTGTTTAAGTGTTTCAGGAAAACAAGAATCCATTAAGATTCGGTACTCAAGAATGAAGTTGAAACACTAAAACTAGCGTAGAATATAGCTAGAAACCAATGTAAGGATATGACTTTATATACCTATATTCACAAGCTCAAAAGCATTCACAAAATATGTTTAAAACCATCACATAAACACTTTCAAAATATCTAAAAGGTTTTAAACTCAAACACGAAGGATTAAGGGAATTTTGGAAAAATCAGAACAGAGTCACGGTACCTCTAGCGGTACGCCACACGGTAGGGTATACCGCCTACACGGTACCCCCATACCGTGTAACGGTACCTAGGTACCGACGGTAGGCGTAGACGGTTGGCCGAACCCGTCCTAACCGGGTACCGCCAGAGGCGAACCGAACTTTTTGAAGACACGGTACCCCCAAACGGTAGGCTATACCGTGTCACGGTACCTAGGTACCGGATGACACGGACCCCCCTACCGTGAAGGGTACCAGATCCGTTACAGCACTGTAGCAAAATTGCCAATTTGAATTAAATCAACCCTAATCACCTCCCAACGGCTAATTAACATCTTCCACTATAAATACAAGCCTAATCCTTCATATTTCTTCAAGAAACAAAGCTCTAAAAATCTTCTCTTTTTATTCTAAGTGTGTTCATCCTTTTATTAATTATTTTCAATATTTTGGCTATTTCAAGAGCCTTAAATTCCTGAATTTTATACACACACTTTGAGCTTGTGTTTCTAGTTATATACTCTCATATTCATAAGTTTATATTGTATTTTTGAGAGAGTATAATTTCCTTCTACACCGGCTAAGTTTTGTTCTTCATTTTTATATTCTAGCCGTTGTGTAGAATCCTCTTTTGTGTTCTTCAAACACACCTTCTTACGGTCGAGAATAGCCGTTAAATTCTCATATTGTATCGGTCGAGGATAGCCGTATAAATCCTTGGGTAAAGGTTCAAGGATAGCCTTTGAAATCCTTGGGGGANTGGAGTAGGGAGTTCCCGAACCAGTATAAAATTGGTGTGCATTTTATTTACGCTTTTATTTCTGCGTTTTATATATTGCTTCCGCATTTGCCAACACCATTTTTACTTAACTCCGAAAAGTTTTTAAACGCCTTATTCACCCCCCCTCTAAGGCGTGGGCACAACGACTAAACCGACTAACAAAGAAAAGGAGATAGCTGCTGAAATGGATATACCTCCGATATTTCCAGAAAAGCGTTTGATTAGAAGAAAAAAAGAGTTGATGAGAGTTCAAGTAGCGAAGAAGTTTCATTTACAAATGATGAGAATTTCAGGGTCAATTTCTTCTCTTATGTTGTGGATAAAGCCATATCTTCTCTTGAGATGAGATTTGAACAATTCAAAGACTATGAGAGTTTATTTGGGTTTTTGTTTCCACATAAGTTGAGTGAAATTGAAGAAAAAGAGCTTAAGTTGTTTTGTTATCAACTTGAAAATGCAAACAAGTTTGAAGAAAGATCGGATATTGATGCTGGAGAGGTTTACATGGAGTTGAAATCTTTCAACACATTACAAACCAATGAATTTAGCAATCCCATAGATGTTTTGAAGCATTTAAAAGAACTTGGTTGTTACCAGAATGCCTGCATTGTATATAGAATTTTGTTGACTGTTCCCGTAACAGTGGCATCAGTAGAGAGAAGTTTTTCCAAATTGAAGCTCTTGAAATTTTACTTACGGTCTACAATGTCCAAGAAAGACTTAGTGGATTGGCGGTAATAGCTATCGAGAATGAAATCTTAGAGAGCATAGACTGTGAAGATGTGATCAACCAATTTGCTCTCAAGAATGCAAGGAGAACTTCTCGAATCCTCGGCTAGCTTTTACGGTTTGTAATTATAATACTATCATTTTGTCATTTATTTTTTTTTCTTCTAATAATATTGCGTTTATCATAATTTAAATATAATTAGTTTACATTTGTGAATTTTTTAGACCATTAAGGATAAGACTTTTAGGGCCTTTTTTGTTTTGGCCCAGGCTGATGAATCCTCAGGACCGGCCGTGTAAATAATTTTTCTGTTCCATGTTTATTTATTCATATTTGACTCATGCTCAACAAGTTCACTTCAAGACCCCTCCGCAGTGAAAGTCTTGAAACACCAAATGTTCCCTTTGCTATTATTCCTCCATGCACAAAGATAAGATATTGAAGCATGCTTCAAAAATTCACCACTTCTTTTATATGAGGGATATGTTTAGCGACACATGCACGAGACAAAAGGAAAAGGGAAAACTAGATTCGGTTTGATTGGGGTGTTTCTTGTTACAGAAGATTTTAGAATTTTAGTAGAAATAGATTTAACGTCCCGAACTCCGACTTATCAGAATTATTTAATTAAAAATAATTAATTAAATATTGAGATGGACCCGGGGTTAATTAGAAATATTTGTCTATAAATTGTAAATGTTATACCCTAGTGTAGGGTTCGAGGAGACAGACCCAACGGTGCAAACAGATCTGAATTCGGAGCAAGTTGACTCAATAAGTGTATTTTTGTCAAGGTATGTTAATTAAATACGAATCACCAATCCCTAGGTATTTAAATACCCATATGCTGCATGCCTCACCATTCTCGTTTGATCTCTCCCTTGCGATCACATGACACACACACGGCGCAGATTCAAGAAGAAGAAGAAGACGGTCGCTACCGTCGCCCTTCATCGACAAGCCTCTCGTTCACCCGTAGCTAACTCGTAATCGTTTCAAGGTGAGTATGTGGAACCCTAACGTTAGAGTATTTGATTAGGTTTGAAATCTACATTCGTAATCGTTGTATGATTGAATTGCATGAAAACCTATACGATTGTTGAATCTTGGATTTTCAGGTTTATGACCTAATCTATCGTCGCCCTTCATCGCCAAGCCTCTCGTTCACCCGTAGCTAACTCGTAGTCATTTCAAGGTGAGTATGTGGAACCCTAATGTTAGAGTATTTCATTAGGTTTGAAATCTACATTCGTAATTGTTGTATGATTGAATTGCATGAAAACCTATACGATTGTTGAATCTTGGATTTTCAAACACAATCAATGGGTAGAATGCATGATTTAGGCATATATTTGATATCGTATGTGTGTGTTTCATTGAATATGTGTATGCCTCTATTTTTGGATGCCAATTTGATAGATTTGGAGTTTGTATGGTTAATTCCGAACTAGGGAGACTGCACCAGGACCTGCCACCACTGACGGTAAGTTGGTACTGCCAAGCGATACCATGCTTGAGTCACAGGCTATGCAGTACTGCCTATACTACAGGATGGGTGACAGTCGTTATAGGTGATTACCATCCAACGGTAGCCAACTACCATTTGACGGTACGTCGGTACCGCTACCGTCTGACAGGTTTGGGCTATTTAGGTAGTCCCTTCCATTGTGTTGTGTATGTACATTAAGACATGTATGTTTGTATGACACTAAGTGGGTGGATATTTGCATCCGACGCTAGCCCGCTATATGCTTGTATGTGTTAATCCAATGCTTTATAAATCAATAATATCTTAGGTTGATCCATCCTTAAATCCTACGGCAAGAACGAGCCGATCCAACACGCAATAAAGGTTAACTAATGTTGATATAACACTACAGCTGGGGTAAGTCTACCTAGTGGAATCTCTGGGACTGACACACATGTATATTAGGAAAGTAAGATTCTAAGCCATGTGGTGCCTGCTGGGCCCAATGGTTAACCGGTAAAAACGTAGGTGCGGGTATTCTTGAACTACCTAGTAATCCATCACGTGGGGAATCCACCCACCCAGCAGAGAATACCTTTGTTGATAGAGCATTACCCGCTGATCCAGTTGGAACAATCATGACTCCAAAATAAAGTAGTAGTCCTTAGTCTAGGAGAGATTGTAGGAACCGGTTCTTGGTGATCCACCAACCTTGAAGAATCCATAGGTTTGATGAGAATGAAAATGGGCAGGTGCCAGGTAAATTATGTGTTCAATTCTATGTGTGATATCAAGGTTGATTGCATGATGTCACGTGGTTATTATGAATTGTGGATTCACTTGATTGTGTACTTTGACGTTAGATATTTCTCACTCTGCGTTATTGTTGAACGTGTAGTTTAATTTGTTTGTTTGCTACACATAAGTAATCAAGCACATGATGGACCTAGAGCTGATCCCGGAGGGCAATGTGAAAGAAAAGATGTGGTCTAAACTAATTGATGATTTGAATCACTATCTATTTCTAAAATAACTTATTACGTTTTCATGCCTGAGTCCCAAGTTATGTTAGACTAAACAAATTAAGCTTCCGCAATGACTGATTTTTACTCTAATGATGATGGATTTTATTATAGGAAATTTTTGGATGTTTCAATTGTTTTGAGAATATGGTGTGTTTGGATACCGGATGAGTAGCAACCCAGTTTGCTAACCTAGGTATGCGGGTTATGCGGCTTGGGTGTTACAATAGAAGTTAACTTTTATGTTTGAACCCCTTCTTATATAAAGAGGGTCTCATGTTTATATTATATAGAACCACATTATATACAGAATTCTTTCCCAATATTATTACTTAACATGGTATTAGAGAAATTTTTGAGATCTTCTTGATCTCATCGGCAATACAAACGAAGCACATCGTTCCCCTCAGGGATGGATGATGATAAAAAAGATAACCCCTTCTCTAAAGCCACCAATGGTGGTATGGAAAATAAAAACAAACAATTCATCAAAGTCAACCCTTATGAATTAAGATCTGCTGACACACCTGCTCTAATTATAACCCAGATCGAATTGAATGGTGATAAGTATGAAGAATGGACACAAGCTGTTTGAATCACCCTTCATGCTAAAAAATTGGATTCATGAGAATGACTTGAAGACAAAGGGCAATATTTTGTTCCCATCATCATGTAAGGAGATACAGTTGTCCACAGTGAAAACATAGAATAAAACCTTGTTTTAAGAATGATAGAGTATATGTATGACTATATGGGTAGAAAAGAACTCCCTCAGGTGTACGTTGTACGCATATAATATACTACATTAATTCTTTTTTGATGTTACTGAAAAATGAATAGAAAGTGGCATGCAACAACATAATCACCAAAGAAATCTCAATCTAGAAAGAACAAGAACAGAGTTATCATGCAGCATTCTCCAAGAATTAAATGATGAAAACAAAGGCATATCCATTAAGATCTTGGCCAATAGAATTTTTTATCATGTCCACAAGCCTGAAAAAGAAAGAAACAAACAAGAAAACTAAGCGAGCAGCACTGGACACTAGTGAAAATTCCACAGCATCAATTACTTTCGTCTACCAACCAATCAAATAGTCTAGAATAGACCTTTTTGCGAGAGCATCTCTACTGGAGGGCTAGTCAAAAGAAACAACAAATAGAAGAAAAGCATAAATATGGCTTTGCAAACATACCTCTTCATGACACATCATTTTGAATTGTTTTTCACTTGGCCAAATACTGAAACAACATGTTCTTCACTATAACCAATTAGCTCATCAAATCTTGAATTAATATGAACACAATAGAATGACTTCATTTCATTGATGTCTTTCATTTGAAAAGGTGATGCCTCATTACCATACAATTTGTAAGTTACAAGTGGTATTTTCTGAAATGCAACATTAAGAAGATCCTCGATAGCCTTCTTTTGATGTATTTTCTCTCTTTGGATCGTAGAGCTTTGGTTTCTCATGAGCATCGGCTCGGAAGCTTGAGAATCTACCTTGTCGTCTATTTGGGTTAGTTTCATCTTTTTATGTGGAGATAAGAGAACCTGAAATAATTAATAAAAAAAGTATTACACATATGTGAACATAGAGCATAATCACGCCAAGCACCAATTATGTTTACACCAAATCAAACTAAAAATAAATAATCAATTATAAAACTTGAGAGTTACCGGTGGCATGTTCTCAAGTTCAATGGTTGATGTAGAGATTGGCATATGAATATGGTCCACAAATGTTTGCACATGTTGATCATCCTTGTGTAAAGTACCATTCATTTGCCCCAACAACTTCATTAAAACATCATCTCTAGCTTTTAGTTCTGCTCTCTTTTCAGCTCTTACAGATTCAAAATCTGATTTGTATTTTTCACGCTCTATTCCTCTCTCGGCTTCCATTTGCTTCAATTTGTTGGTAAGGCCCTCAATTTCTTTTTTGAGAATGGAGCATCTGAAGATTTAGTGTGTGTAAAGTAATATTTCCAACCAACCTTTCCTTTCTCACCTCAAACACGGCCAATTCAAATGTACAGTAATTCCATCTTATCTACCTGTAGATATAACATTTCTCTGAATAATGACCCGAAAAATCCCTTGTTGCAGATATTGAGGAATGACATGACAATGTAAATGTTTATCTGCCATGCTTCTAACCTCATTCCAAATATATTTTGGAAACTTAAACCTGGATTGTAGTCATGTAATTCCCTCCATCCCCCTTTCTACAAATAATTTTACCAATCTCTCTTAAGTTGTCTTCACGATTCTATATACTGGAATTGATATATGATTATTAAATTTTATTAATTTTTATAAATTTAATTTTATAAATAAATGATTATTTAATTTTTATTAATTTTTTTATACATCATCTCCAAAAAAATTAATTTCAAATAAATGATTATTTAAATAAAAGATTATATGTAATTCATCTATACTTGAACCAATTTTTCAAAATCAATTTATTCTTTAATGAAGAAATATAAAAATATCATTATTTTTATAATATATTCAAATATTAGTTCGGTTCAGGTTTCTTCATGATGGGAAGTTACTTCGATATTTTATCGGTGCAGTAACCTTAGTTTCTTTTTTGGTATTTTATTCTTGAGACACCAAATTCAGGTTGTGTTGTTGATTAAACCTTAGAGATAGATGTCTTATTTGAAAATCCTTGTTCGAAGTAAAAAAAATGTATATTAAATGCTTTCCTTGAATCTTAACCCTACTCCGTGTTTTCTGCCATGTTCTGTGGATCCTCCCGACATCCCTCGTGCAAGAACGTCAGTTGACGCATGGAAATCGGTGCCTGGAAACCTACTATGGATTGGTTCTTCATCATGGCCCTCATCATGGCCCAGAAACTTTTGGGATCCATGGAATCCTATAATTAGATGGGCCTTGTTGGGTCACTCTTTTTGTTGGGCTGGAGACCCCGCCAGTCCAGGGTATCCATCACACGGTATCTAGGAATACATCATTACTTCTAGATTATAAGTTTTGACATTTACTCCGTTAAAACCTTTCAACAATTGAAATTTTGTACAACGTTGATCCCTTTATCTCAATGTCTTAATTTAATGCAAGGGATATGGAATTCACTAAAATTATACATCATATTTAAACATTTTTCTGGATAGTGTAATTCTTAATAGTTCATTTGATGCATTTCCTTTGTAAGGGAACAGATAGAGTATTTAAATTAAGTTTTAGAAAATTGAAGAGATTTTAAAACTTACAAAATTTATGTATATAGAATCGCTTTAAATATGAGTAAATATAGAAAAAATATCAAAATAGACGTTTATGGTTTAAGGCTCTGTTCTTTTGGGTTGGAAAGCTTAACTTCTAACTTTTTCCAACTCCTTCCCGGTTCTTCCAACTCATTAAAGTTTCTTCTAACTCCCTCTAGTTTTTTCTAACGACTTAAAAATGCATTTATATATGATAAATATAAAATAACATTATATATCCAAATGTATAACGTACCAAATCCAACACAAACAATGATGAATTCTTTTTTTTCTAAAATTAGAGTTTTCTTGCGTAAGTATTTGGGTGATCATTTAATTGAATGACTTTTTAATCCTTAAATTCTTTCAACATTTTCTAACATTTTACAACTCCTTCCAACCTTTTCCAACTTCTTCCAATTTCTTTTAACATCTAACTCTGAAATTCTAACCGAAAAGAATAGATCCTTCAAAACTTTTCTAACTCCTTTTAGTTTCTTTTAACACCTAACTCTGAAATTCCAACCCAAAAGAACAGAGCTTAAGGTGAAATTTATTAGCTTAGAGCACTGGTAATGGGTTTGAAGCCCCGGGGCTTCAAACCGGGGCTTCAAACCTTCTCTCTCTGCCACGTCATCTTTAACTTACACCCAAAATTCACTGGAAATGGTTTTGAAGCCCCGGGGCTTCAAACTGGGGCTTCAAACCTTTATTTTTTACATTTTTAAATATACATCTTCTAAATTTAAATAATAAATTTAAATTAATTTATTATTTTAATTAATCGCAATGACACTAGTGCATAAAAAAAATTAAGAAGAGAGGACGACTCATCCAAAAACAATTACTAAAATCCTCTGGTGTATAAACACACGGATTATTAAAGTAGTCGTTTAGAAGTGAATCGTGGGCGGCCGCTCGATCCCGGTTTAGACATTGGCGTCAGATCCGTCGTCGGGAGGATTCGGCTTCTTCTTGGCCATCTTCCCACCATTGAATACAATTTGTCGCAAACAACGAAAAAATAAAGCTCTTCTTTCATCTTCGGAAGATGAACCCATTTTTAAATTATATTTTATAAATATTTATAATAAATAATAAATTTTTTTGAGAGAATATAAAGTAATAAAGAGAGATTTGTGAGAGAGAGGTGTGAGAAAGATGTATGAGATAGGGGGATTTTATTGGTTTTTTTTTAAATTTAGAATTTTTTTTTAATTTGGGGGGGTAACGGCTATATAGCCTTTGGGAAGGGGGGAGCCGGCTAAAAAACGCAGCCATGCCGCGTCAAACTAATGACGCTGGTGAACTCACGCCCGAATCACGCCGAAGGGGGGCGGTGTTTAACGCCCCCTGGCGTTAAACGCCCGTATCACGCCGGTGGGCGTGAGGGGCATTTCCAGTGCTCTTAGGTGGAATTGCTTGTGGAAGATGATGGATGAAAATAATGGAATTGCTTTGGGAAGATGATGGATGAAAATAATGAGTTAATGCTTTTATCCCAAACGGTACCTCATGTTCCGTTAGGCATTAAATGGGTGTAGGTACACGTGTTAAATTCTCTGTGGTGGAAATATTTTTTCTTAGGTGAACGACACTTATACTACCGTTAAGTATTTTGACTTCTGGACTTTCACTGATCGGGAATCCTGTAAAATTAGTATTCTCCTTGATTAATTCGATGTAAGGTACATCATTTATATACAAGAATTAGGACTCCTAAATATGGTAGGAGTAGATGTATGGAAACTAATATATTTACAATAATAATTAGAATATGTACTTTACTTAAATATAATATATCATATTTAACATGCTCCCAACTATGTCGGCTGAGGAGGCGGCCTGATGCCAAGGTTTGTCTTGAAGTCCAAGAATAAGATGGAGGGAAGTCCTTTTGTGAAGATGTCAGCATACTGGGATGATGAGGGAACATGTAAGACTCTTATCTGTCGGAGTTCAACTTTATCACGAACAAAGTGAATGTCAACTTCAACATGCTTGGTACGCTGATGTTGTACGGGGTTGGATGAGAGATAGACCGCACTTACATTATCGCAGAAGATCAAAGTGGTACAGCGTAGGGGAAGTCAAAGCTCAAGAAGGAGATTTCGGATCCAATATGTTTCGGCGACTGCATTCTCTATGGCTCGGTACTCTGCTTCGGCACTTGACCTGGATGTGGTTGCTTGGTGTTTGGAGGACCAGGATATGAGATTATCGCCTAGGAAAACACAGTAGCCGGAAGTGGAGTGTCGTGTGTCAGGGCATCCTACCCAGTCAGCATCGGAGTAGGCCTGGAGAAAGTCAATGCCGGATCGAGTGATACAAATGCCATGAGTGGCCGTCCCACTAATGTAGGGAAAAAGATGCTTCATAGCTGTGACATGGGCCTCATGTGGGGCATGAAGATGGAGGCAGAGCTGCTGTACGGCATAAGTGATGTCCGGGCGAGTAAAAGTGAGATACTGGAGTGCACCCACTATGGACCTGTAGAGGGAGGCATCATGGGCGGGAGGGCTAGCACGTGATGGGAGCTTGGGTTTTGTGTCCACCGGGGTTGAGATTGGCTTGCAACAGGTCATCCCAGCCCACTCAAGAATGTCGTGTGCAAACTAAGTCTGGTGCAGGAAAAGTCCAGAGGGTGTCCGCTGAACATTAATGCCGAGGAAAACGTGTAAATCTCCCATTTCAGTCATAGCAAATTCCCCTTTGAGCTGAGAGGTGAGGCGGTGTAGTAGTGTGGACGAGGAAGCTATGAGCACAATATCATCGACATATAGGAGGAGGTATGCCGTGTCTGATCCCTGTGAGTAGGTGAAGAGAGATGTGTTAGCTTTGCACCTAGTAAAACCCAAAGTCCGAATGAATCCTGCAAATCTATGGTATCATGATCGGGGAGCCTGTTTTAGTCCATAAAGAGCCTTCTTAAGTTTGCAGACATAGTGGGGCTTCGACGGGTCCTAAAACCCAGATGGCTGCGTGGCATAAACAGTATCTGTGAGTGTCCCATGTAAGAAGGCATTTTTGACGTCCGGCTGATGGATGGCCCACCCTCGTGAGATGGAGATGCTAAGGACGATCCGAACCGTCGCAAGTTTGATAACCGGACTGAACGTTTCGTCATAGTCAACTCCAAATCGCTGATTGAACCCCCGAACAACCCGTCGGGCTTTGTACCTGGTCAACTCCCCAGAGGGACCAAACTTGTGGCGGAAGAGCCACGTACCGATGATAACATTTTGGGAGGGAGAGGGTGGTACAAGTTCCCATGTGCCGTTTCGTAGTAAAGCATTAAATTCATCACACATAGCCTCATGCCAGTTTGGATCCTTGAGCGCACTACGGTAAGTTGGGGGTAGGGGGGAGATGGATGCAGTGGTGTTCAAATTCAGGATTTGTTTTGGTCGAGAGATGCCGGATTTAGAGCGTGTGACCATGGGGTGCTGGTTGTTGTGGGCTGGTTGTGGGATTGGGTTTTGGGCTGTAGGGAGATGGGCTTCAAGTGGGCTGGGTATGGGGTTTACGGGTGGGCTGCGGTTCTGGGNTCAAGGAAGAAGAGATCAGACGCAGAGGCGTGGGGACTGTACAGGAAAGTAGACTCGTCGAAGATAACATGACGGGAGATAATAATTTTATGGGTTTGGAGATCAAGGCAACGGTACCCTCTCTGGTTGGAGGGGTAGCCAAGGAAGACACAACGGGCTGATCGGGGGGCGAGTTTGTGTGGAGCAGTGGCCGAGATATTTGGGTAGCAAAAGACAACCGAAGACACGTAGGTGG